TGTGCAAAACAAAGTGAGAGAAAATCCATGATACTTAACTAGTTTAACAAAGTTTTTTTACACTTAGGGCACAAATCCTGGAGCCATCAGTATCCGAGATAGTAGAAATAGTCGAATGCATCAGTACCCAAACTCGCAACTAACACTTCCGCCGGTGGGTTAAAATTTAAAAACTAGTTAATACACTTACATTTTAGAATTTTTTTTGTATTTTAAATGTTTCACTAGTTTTAAAAAGTTTTTTAAATTTGTGGTAAAATTGGTGGAGCACTCGGTATCTAAGATGTAGTAGAAATGTTCAAATACATTGGTATTCAAACTCGCCACCAACACCTCCATTGGTAGGTGCAATTTAAAAACCTGTTAATACACTCACTTTTTAGAATATTGTTCATATTTTTCATTTCACCTGTTTTAACATGTTTCTTCATTTTTTAAAAATAGTATTATTGGCGCAATCGGTATTGGGTAGTAGGAAATCTAAAAACTGGTTAAAACACCTTCTTTTTCTAGTATTTTACGTGTTCCACTAGTTTTAAAAAGTTTTTTACATTTTGGGTATGATTTCTGAAGTGATTGGTATCTGAGGCCAAGTAGAAATAGTGCAATACATCAGTATTCAAGCTTGCAATTAACACCTCCACCGGTAGGTGAAAATCTATGAACCAATGAAAATAGCTACTTGTTTGAAATTTTTAGTCATTTCAAATGTTTCAATAATTTTATAATGTTTTGTACATTTGGGTACAATTGCTGGAGCAATCCTTATCTGAGATCTAGTAGAAATAGTCAAATACATCAGTACTCAAACTTGCTACCAATACATCCTTGGGTAGTAGGAAATCTAAAAACCTATGCAAGTACAAACACCTACGTTTTTTAAATTGTTAGGTATTTCAAATGTTTCAATTTTGTGTACAATTTCTGGAGAGATCGGTATCTCAGATGTAGTAGAAAACATCAGTACTCAAAACTCGCAACTATCTCGTCCACGGGTAGTAGGAAAACTAAAACCACTAGAAACACCACTTTTTCAAAAATTTATGTATTTCAGATGTTCCAATAGTTTTAGAAAATTATTTTTCATTTTTGGTACAATTTCTGAAGAGATCGGTATCTGAGATGTAGTAGAAATAGTCAAATACATCAGTATTCAAAGTTGCAACTAACTCATCCATGAGTAGTAGGAACTCTAAAAATCACCTACTTTTTCAAAAATTTAGGTATTTCAGATGTTTCAATAGTTTTAAAAAGTTGTTTTTCATTTTTGGTTCAATTTCTGGAGAGATCGGCATCTGAGATTAGTAGAAATACATCAGTACTCAAACTCGCTACCAACACCTTCATTGGTAGGTGAAATTTTCAAAACTGGTTATTACACTTACTTTTTAGAATTTTTATTCGTATTTTTAGATGTTTCACAAATTTTAAAAAGTTTTTTTTTATATTCGGAGTACAATTGCTAGAGCAATCGGTATCTGAGATCTTGTAGCAATAGTCGAAAAACAAAATAGAAAATACAAACAAAAACAAACAAATGTTAGTCCTCATTTTTAATAGTGTATTTAAAGTTCATGGAGATTACTCATTTGCAAACAAACATCTTTTCTTGTCCTTTCTCCATTTTAATCCAGTTGTTTTCTCTTTAACCGAGCAAATGTAGGATACATTCAGGATAGAAGTCTTTAAAGGCGCTATCCACAGCCAGTTGACCTGCAACAACTGAGTGCAGTGTTGGAACATCTTTGGAGTGAAATTCCTTATAAGATTAGTGATATCCTTATTAACAGGGAGCCTAACAGGTGCACAGAGGTATGAGCTTTTCCTTCAGTAAAAAACAATAATTCCTGATAAATTTAATACAATTTATCATAAAAATGAAATACAAATGCTAGAGAAAATAAATACTACAAAATTGGCAATATCCCCATACATTTTTGAGCACTAACATATATCTGACTATAGGTGTATTGCTAATGTACAATATTTTTCCTTGATGGTTTGTGATTTTCAGTACAGGCCTTAATGCAGGACCTTTACTTGCAGTGATGTCGCCTTGTCAACCATTGCGATCACTGACCCTAACTCTACACTTGTATACAAATCTCTTGTTTATGTGTTTGCCAATACTACCTGCCTCTAGATCCCTTTGTAGATGCAGTTATCATTAAGGTTACTTTTAGGTTACTTTAAGTTTTTTTTTAAAACACATGACTAGCGATGTTAGGCACCCATATTTGAATATGTATATCCCTTGATGATTTTGAGATTGCATCACTTGGTTCAAAGGATGCCTAGTTGACAGGGATTATAGAATTTTTAAATTAATAAAAAATCCACAGTGGGGAAATCCATTTTTTATTGTTTTAAACATTTAAATACATACATGTATTATACATTTCAGATCTTGAGTTGTGTTTATATGTCAATAAGAAACATCTGAAACGTGTACAAAGCTATTTAGTTATTCATATTCTATTATATTGTTATGTTGATTTGACACTGACACTTTTTTAAATGTTGTCTTTTCTTAGATTTCTAAATTAGTTTAAAGATTAGATTTTTTTAAAACATGTATGGAACTAGGACAATATTTAAACTCTAGTAAAAACTAAAATACAATAAGTATTTTAAATACATTTTAGATAAAGACTGAACATAATTTCTTTTTAATACATATTCAATAAAACTTTCTTCATATTGCAAACGTATTTGTTAAACATATTAATAGAATTATTTAATTACTTAATATGTCAGAAGGCTTTCATTACGCAATTAGTTTTCACTAGCCTTTCTGCATCTTATTAACAATACACTTTTTGTAAAATAAAATTTACAAGTTTTTTGTTTTAAAGTAATAGATCTAAATTTTTTCTTTCAAATATAATTAGCTTATTAAATGGATTAATGCATAAAAATATAATCACTTTCAATAGACATTAGAACTTAGCCAGCACACTTGAAGGCACAAAGTCAAGACCCATGCAGTTACATATAAAAACATTTGTGTTTCCCGGAATCATGCAAGAAAATGCATAATATGCACATCTTGCATCTAGCCGTTCTCTTTTGAACACAATAAACCTTCGCTAAAAAATTACAAAGATTAAATTGAACTTTTAATTTTTTAGATTTCACCATCTCTTAGTTAAAAGAAAATCAGTTTGAAGTATATTTTTTACTTTCCTTCTGTCATTCCTTTATAACAATGGCACATAATGGAATGTTTACTAATTAGTATTATTAAAACTATGACACTGAAATTTTTATAATACAACAGTGCTTTTATTTAAATTTTTTCCCACGCGATAAATCAAAGTCTGCTATTCTCTACTAGTATATTATATGTGTATGAATATTATATTTATGTATAATTTATAAGGAGTTTAGAACATTTTAAAATTTACAACGGCAATCTTAAATTATCCAATATTTAAGCAACAAATAAACTGATGATGCGATGTTTATTTATTTCAGTAACCGCAATGGCTCATCCATTTGGAATATAGTATTTAATCAGATAAATCTATTTTATCAATTCAGAAAACCTGCAATTATTAATGTGTAAAAAGGCTTTGTAAATAATTAGGAAAATACAATTATAGATAAGTAATCTTTGTAAAGTTTAGTTGGAAGTTGAATTATTATTTCATTAAAAGTTATTTAATCTGTTAATAATTTATTGCACAAATATTTGAATTTTAAGAAAGATTGCTTTTGCATTTCTAAACAAGACTAAGGTGATATAAAAATTTTTATTTTGGGAGTTATCAATTTCGATCCCATATCTACACATTCTTATTAAAAATTGTCCTAACTGAGAGCAAAAATTATTAAATTTATAAAACATTTAAGGACATTTTGACTCAGAATAAAAAATAAATATTTATAACAATACCAGTTCTACAAATATTGGTCAGAATCACTTAACATTAATTTTACCCTCTCTCCAAATAAGTCAACTTTAATCCTCACAAATAAACAATAAATTATTTATTCATAAACTTTTGAACTCTTTTGAGAGGGAATTATCTCAAGATAAAAGTTAAACCGAGACAGCACGATTAAATCTAATAATACTTGAGCATTCCAACATCAGACTCATTTAATCTACAGTAAAAAGACTAGAAACAATTAATAATTGTTTTTAATAAAAATAACATTTTCCTTTACTGACAACTTGTTTATACATCAGCGACAAGTACAATACCTTGAATATTCAAATTTGGCACAAATATCGCTTGATTCAACGATTTTGAGAAAAACCCAATGCACCAAATTGTGCAACTTTTAATTTACAATACCAATAGACAGTTTTGAGGATTAAATAATTTCTTTTTCTTTTGGCATTTGTTACAAACAATACTGTATGTAGGTAGATAGAACAAACTACACTCACCAATTTTGGTACTGTCGAATGAAACTGTACAATTGGACCATGAAAATGGAAAGTTAAACTTTGTTGATATCAATAATAAACTTGAAAATTGATAGTTATAAACAACTGGATTATATTGAACAATTGAAGTTAAAAAATAGCATGCGCAACAAACCTGAAAGTGGAATCTTAATAGAACATATAATAATTAAAACTATATCATGAAGAAAATAGACTATATACACTTGATTTTATACATTCATTAAACAATATTAGTTAACTAACTCTTATAACAAAAAACATAATTTATTATACATATTAACTAAAACATACATAATTTTGAAAATTTATTTGTAAACGTTTCAATTTCCACATGAACATTAATTACATTTTATACATGCAATATTACATGGCAAGTGTGTACATTCTAATTATGCTATTATGAGATTTTTGACTGAATTAAAATTAGTTATGTATAAAGTAAACACAACATATTTTGTTTTCATATGTCAAGCTAGCATGTCCTCTATTCTATTTTCATACATTAAAAACATTAACAGCCATATTTTATTTTTACTGGAATGAAAAAAAAAGTTATTCTGTAAGCTACTCATGATCAAAATAATAAATATAGAACAAAAAAATAATCACGATTTACAAGACAACTTATTACAAAAATATTTATTTATTAGAAAAATTCATTTCTGTGGTGTTTAGTCTAAAGACTATTTAGATTCAATTGATAGATAATGGCCACAAATAAACTTTAGGCCTTGTTACCTCCAACAAAATTTGGAATTTGCAGTGCATTATCATACTATAAATATTTACAGATCATTACCAGAGTTATTTGTGTAAAGCTAAGATTAAAATTAATTGTGACTTTAATGAAGTTTTGAATACATGTGTGCAATAAATTTCATCTTAAGTTAGCCTTGTTTAAAATAATAATTATTATTAGAATGTATATAAATATTATTAAATGAACCGGAGGTTAAATACTTTAAGTAAAAGTGTTATTTTATTCAATTTGATCCAGTAAGTAATCTAATGTTAATTTCTAAACATACTTTGTTTTAGTAATAATGAGAATGTAACAAAAAGATTCAATAACACTAGAAATAGATTATCATCAGATATGATCCCATTAGCTTATCACAATTCAAAAGTAAATTTCTTTACACCAGTTTACAAATTGTGTAAAGTTTTAACATGCGATCTCTCAATACTAAACTTTTATAATGTGTTAATTAAAAAAACCTGAAGCTTAAAAAAAAGAACAATTCAACTAGTTTTAAAATGAACCCAGTAAAAAAAGAAAATGAAAAAAAGAGCGAGGTACACTATTTGGTTTTTACCGTTTTTGTTGAGGGACTAGAGGGTGGTTAACCATATCCCATAGGTACTTGAAGTACTTGGGTGAAGTGAGGCTGAAAAGAAAGTCAGACTTGGTCTGCCCACTGTAGACAAGGTTCTTGGTGAATTCCTCTAGGATCGCCAAGGAGCCAAGCGTTGTGTGTGTAATGTTAGTCTTAGCGACAAGAGTGCCAGTAATGTGCACATCATCGATCCAGAAGTATTTGGACTTCTGGGCTTCTGCATACAATGTGAAGGCAACATCGGGTGAATAGAGGACAGCCCAACCAGTGCAGTATTTTGGGTACCACCTACCTGAGTACTCTGCTGGTGTCACACGCCATTTTGATCTATAAACAATTAATATTAAATCATGAGTATTGTTGAATATGTGTTATGTAGTTATTGCTGGATCTAATATATCATATATATTTAACTATTTTACCTTTTACATAATAATTAAAAACTACAAATTGTAGGAGAATAAATTTGAAAGTTGCGCCAAGGTGACGTCAGACTGTGACGTACTTAAATCTATTGGTCACTTCTAAGAAGGTTATTGGTTACAAGTGCTTATGTATAGAGAAATAAGGAGCGTGTGTTTAAAAACGAAAAGTCTACGGTTTCTTTATCCGATCCAATCCTGAAAAGGCCCTACAATATAACTATTTTTATCCACAATAACAGTAGTTTTATCAATCTATATTTGGGAGGAAAAAAGATTGAGTTACAATATGTTTAAAATATACTAATAGTACCTGTAGCTTCGTTTGACTATGGTTCTGTCCATGACATTGCAAAGGAGAAGCCTTCTAGCACCAAGAGGTGATACTTGAGAGTTCAAGAAGGCTTGGAGGAAAGGGGTGTTGACAAACACATCATCATCAGTTTTCAGTATGTACCTCGCACCAGGACAGTGGTAGGTAGCCCATTTAAGGCCCATAACATGCTTGTATGTCATGTTACGGTATGAGTCAATAAAGGTACCTGTAAAACACGAATAATTGAAAACGTATATTCAGAAAGTAATTTAAAAGATATACCTTGAACGATATCACTGTGTTCTTTCATTTCTTCTTCAAGCTGATTCTGTATAGAGGATGAATTTGTCTCTCCAACCATGAAGACGATATCCAAGGCATTACCCCATGTAGACCTGATCATACGACGGTGGTATATGTTGTTAGGAGCCGAGTGTACGATAACAGCTACTAACGGTGTAGCATTGCAAGAGTACTTGCTGAGAAACGAGAATTCCTTAAGGTTGATTAGTGTCGATAGGTCGTCTGGGGGTAGGATCTGGATCTGGTATGGTGCAGGTGCTGTGGTTGCATTGCTGGGTACGAGAGGAAGGTAGTTAAGCACCGGTAATTGCGCTGTCCTAGGTGGCCCTGGACAACCGGAAAGGCGCCAGATCATGAATCCAACCACTCCCAGAAGTATCAGCCCCCAAACGAGCCGGCAGCATCTTTTGTCAAACATCCTGCTACCTCACCATTGCCTGAAACATCGTAAACATAACTCATAGCAATTTTTTTAGGGTTGGAGTGGGGTTGAATAAAAACTTTTCCTTTTACTACCTGCGAAATAGATCTATTGTGGCCCCTATAAATTATAACTATACCTTGGAAAGTGCATTTTTTTTCTACATGCCTAAACACATTCCTAAGTGCTTCTTTGAGCACCTAGGACAGTTCTTAGTGTTAGAATTACCATACTGAAGTGGCTTGGTTACTGAACTAATTCACAAAGAAAATGTTTGAACATCTCTAGTTACTCCCGACAGAGTTGGCATGTTTTTGTCCCTGCCTATAATGCCTATAATTTTCATGCCTGCTGAGAGAGAAAGAGAGAGGGTGGGAGGGAGGGAGAGAGAAAGAGAGAGAGAGAGGAGAGAGGGAGTGGGAGAGAGAGACCTGTTAGGTTTTCCTTCCTCTTCCTTTTGGAGAGTTTTATAAACCTGTTAGCTTACTTCACACGTTATTTTTCTTGAGTGCTGATGTTTCCTTTCTCAAACCATTCTTCCATTAGGTGAGAGAAAACTGCCCATTTTTTGGCTAGTTGGACTGCCTGTTCATTTCCTCTTATACCTTTACACAACTCACTTGTGTTTTCCTGGAGTTATTTGGTCATTTAGGCACTCCCAGATAAATTTGGAGTTGAAGCATACGCAAAGTTGCATGACTGTCTGAGATCTGTGCACCATTGCAAATGTTTTTCTTTATTACTCATTGTATAGAATGAGGTTAAAATATAATAACCGACCAAAATTGCCCTAAGAAGAGGAATTTCAATAAAATATTCCCCTAAGGAGTTATCTAATCTGCAATTACAGAATGGCATTAATTTGTACAGGAGACCCTCATGCCACACGCAATTAAATGTTTGTGTTAGGTCAAGAAAGGCCCTATGCCATATTGTATAAGTACAAAGAATTAGGATATGTGTCCACAAGCTTAGCAATTTTGAAGAAATAGCTAAAATTTTTTGTAATCACACAAGGGCAAGAAATGAAACGAGATAAAATGACGCCATGGATGCCGAGGAAGTAATGTGTCACTGTTCATCCGACAGACCGTGGCGCCATTCTGCAATATTTGGTTTATAGATTTTTTTCCTTTTTGTGGAAGTGTCATCCGATTTGTCACCATGGTCTGGATCATCCGCTGTGATGCTACTTCGAATGGTCTTCTGTATTCGCCATGCCAGTTAAATTTGACTAGCCTTTTTTTAAACATCGGTTTCATACTGTGAAATTTTAGTTACAATCGAACCTGATACATCCTAATAATTTTAATTCGCTTCAAAACGTCTCTGGAAGAGACACGATTCCATTGATCAAAAAGTTATGCAATGTTTACCATGTTAATGACAGTTCGTACACGACCGGAAACACGGTCGTGACCTGGAGTGGATTAGAAATTACAACCCCTCGGTGATTTATGCACACATCACTCACAGCATTGTCATATTGAAAATTTGGGATTGCTGTTTGTAAACATGCAAAGAGAATTGAACAATTAATTTTAAAAAAACCTTTCTGACTACAAATAAAAGTATGCATACATTTCATTTTTTTACTCTCAGCATTAAAGAAAGGAGGATTATGAAATAATTTATGGCCCGTTACATCAACTTAGTTCAAACTCAAGTACTGAATCTAGTTCAACTCAGTAATTGCCGTTTTTCATTTTATCTGGAACCGTGTTCAAGAGATGATCCCGGTTCCACTTTGAACGACCGTCGAGCTTGGGCTAAATGAAGTTCACAGATGAACGACTTCCATAATATAACCTGTATATTGTTAAAGGCGTGTTCTCACGATTCAACTTTTCATGTTTCAATCAAAATTTATTAACTTTTTATTTGAAAACTACTGTTCTTTCTTATACATTGCTTTTATTGTCTTAATTTTGTTTTTCTAATCAGGAATAGTAAGTCCGGCAGCTTGTATCTCTTTTGCGCTAGAACTCAAACGTAGTTTATCTAATTATGTAACCTGCTTGCTGTACTTGAGTGTCAAGTGCTTGATTGTCGCCTAAACTGAATAGCGTCACAATTCTTCAATTAAAATTTCTGTAAATCACAAGATAAACTCGACTACATTAAACAACGTTACAAATATAAAAAAGTCCTCAATTAACCAAAAGGTTTTTGCCAGCATGATGACGCAGGCAGGGGCGAAAGCCAAAATACTTCCATCCTCGGCAGTAAGGGGGCAGGCAGAAGGCTCATAAAAGTTTCAAGAGCAAGTCCCTTGAAATATGACCCTTGAAACAAAGACGGGCCTTACTATAAAGGAAGGAATGTGATTTATTCCAGAGAGGCCGTGCAGTTTTCTTTTAAAAAAAGGCAAAACATCTACCTCAATAGAGGCGCTGACAGAAATACCTCCGTTTCAGACATGGTTATTTTTGTTGTAAAAAGTTTTTATCCTGCATCATGCCACGGATATATGCAACTTAAATGCTTTACAACACTGACACAGCAAAAAAAGTGTATATTTTGTCCTATCACAACAATTGCAACGTACAACAGAACAATATATGATAAGTAGAACCAACCAATATATGATATATCCAAGAACTTGCAATGAGTTTTTATGATAGATTTTGATCGTTACCGATCATTTTGGACATCGCTGCATTGTTTGGTCAGACGATTCGTAGAAATATGGACTGACTATGATCAACGGGATACATTGATATAATAAACACATAGCTACAAAACAAACAGGAATTTTCTGTACAAGTTCAAAGTATGACAATCGAACTCTTTAGGGAAATACATCCTTGTTTTTCAGCTCAAATACATACTATCAATGGTAGTGGTTTAGAAAAAAAGTTTTTACTGACGAAAAAATTCTCGTATGGGCTGAAAGCCAAGCAGCTATATCTTATATTTTTATTTTATTTATTCGAGTCTCTTTTATAAGTTATCTTTTAAGCTTTTATCTTGGTCGGTTTTTCTTTTTAATTTGAATAATGTATTATGTAGTGTAAATGACGTTTGTGAATCGTTGTTAATTTGAGTATTTGTGAGTGTTTTTTTTAATGACGATTGCGTTGAGTTTCTGTACGGCGAGGAGTAATTTCAATCTTATCTCTACTGTCGAGGGTTCGTCGTTTTTGCGCGATGTGTAGCACAGTTTGATTTTCTTCTACTCTAATTCTTTAGCGTATACCTTCGTTTGTACGGGCGAGGCTTGTTGTCGCGCTGGGTTGTCGATCTTGCTGGCGTCACTGCGAGCTCTTCTTGCAGGATGAAGTCCGATGGAACCTAGCTTTCGGACTCGGGAGGCTGATCTCATGTTCTGACCAGTCTTTCCTGATTTGACTCTGACCGCTCACCTCTCAACTCAACTTACTTCAGCTGTGTTCAACTCTACTCCCGTTACAGGGCAGCCTTACAACCTGGCTCAATGAGGAGTGGCCTTCGATCCCATGTCTTTGCTGACGAGGCAGCGTATACAGCTGGAATCGCATGGACCCCGTGTTCTTGCTGACGAATTTGTGTTCGTGACCTCAGATGACGAGGCCGGTGCTGTGAGCCTTCCATTACAAGGTCTCGGAGAGCGTATCCTCTGTGCGATACGATGTCTATTTATGCGGTGTCGTATGATTGTGTGTCTTTGGTTTATTATTGTGTTGGCGGTATGTTTATGTTGTAGCACAAATAACAAAAAGTACAGCGAGATGACTTAAAGCATGTTCCATGGTAGATATTTGTTCAATATCACGTATGTGTCTTTTATTTAGTCGGGATAATTTTTGGACCTAATCCACCCAACAAACTGTCTCGTTTCCACCAAATACGGACCTTCAGATCCTTCAGAGTTTCATTTGCATTGATGTTCCGCACAGATTAAATTGAGAGTTTAGCTTTCACAAAGCAATTCGACGTAAAGGTCAATGGATTTTCCGTCAATCTCACGAAAGGAATAGGACTTCTTTGGGTGAAATCCCCTCTCCTTTAGCGTTGGTCAAAGAAAGTTCATTCCGTTCCTAAACGCAGTTTACTGCAGACCTACTGTATTATTAAACAAAAACCACTTTTATATAGGTTTTCATTAATATTAGTGAATTGGGAGAAAATAAATTCTTCCGTTAGACATAAAGAGATCGCGTTTTGTTGACATAAAACTGAAATATCAGGTCAAACATTGATTGTTATGTCCTGCAAGGGAAAAAGTAAACTTAACTCCAATACAGGGACAAGTTTCCTTAATTAAAAAAATATTACCTGGTATTGCAGGGTGTTGTGTTTTCGTAATTACAAAGTTTTCCGTCGGCCGGCGGAGGGAAATATAATTTCTCATGGATCTAGTTACACCCTGGATCTTTTAAAAGGCGTAAATTATCAAAAAGAAATAAAAAGTTACTCTGGTGAAAAGTTGTACGTGTACCAACATAGGTAAAGTAATAAACGAAACATGGAAAATCTGTACAATTAAACTTTTTCAAATCGATAAATTTAATGGCGTTACGAAAAGCTTTTTTTTCAGTTTCTCAAGGGGCCCTGTGTAAGTTATTTAATTTTGCGATTTTTTTGAAGTACTTTTGGAACTTATTAAACATGGCTTCAAAGTTAGGGTTTAGAATTGGCACATATGTATAGTTACACACATTACCTATACATGTTTTTAAACCGATGAGCAGTGTGACAGAACACATGCGCCTATGCTCAATTACACATGCAATACTGTAAAACGACTTTTCTTACCATACCGCGTTGGTTTTGATACCCGTCCCGGAGCTGGGAGCTAATTTGTCAGTATATATATACTAATATTTACACATTTTTGGTTTTGTAAATACATGGCATGCAATGAACCACATGAGACCGTGGTAGCTGAGTAGTGCGAGCGGCTTGTGGACCCGAGGGTCATAAGTTCGATTCCCACCGTATTTCTTGTAATTTCTACCCCTTTAAAAACTGTTCACTCATTAACTTCTAGCTCCTTCCGATTGAATTCACGCAGTCTGTCAGTTCATAAAACGA